TGAACTTTATCTCGACTGTCCTCTAACACATCCGCCATGTACTGGGCCACTTTCCTCACTACGCTGGAAAATAACAGCAATAAATAAATAAATAAAAAGAACAGCAGCACATATACGTTTAAATATATTTAGAGAACTTTAACATTACAGAAGCTTAACAACCCCATTAAGGGCATTTTGGGAACTATGAGACTGTACCAAAAGCAGTGTGTCGTTGATCAAGCACAAAATATAATAATATTAAAAAAAATATCAAATGTATCAAATTTGAAACTGAACACTCTTGTAAAAAAGTCAAATGCAGACATGAAACCTCTCTACGAAAGAGTCCAATTTGGCAAGCTCATCAGACAGCCCTACAAGGACATCCAGAGTCCCCACCTGTTGAGAAACACCACCAAACCTCATTAGACAAATGAGAAATGTCAAAGGTGTGTTGTAAATAAACCAGTGTTTTAACTGAAATAGAAAAGTGCGAGTCCTTTACTTTCAGTTCAGGTATGTTGAACTTGTGGTTAGTGGACAGGTTGGTCTGGCTTGTGGCCATGTTCATCTTGTCCCATGTCTGCTGGCAGGTCTTCTCTCCAGGAGCAGAGATCAGCCAGAACTCTGTCATGATGGCTGCTCAAATAATCACGGAAAGGGTCCTAAAACATAGATCAAATTCTCACACCATATGAGACACTTCAGCCCCCCAAAAACTGTCAAATAAATTACAGAGGTCCTTTCAAGGTTGACCATATGCGCAAATTCACACTTCTCCATTTCACTCCATAAATATGAGCAGTCACGAGTCATCAGCAGATAAAAGCTGTCCTGCTTTTAATCGCGTGTGTAAAAATTGAACACATCATTTTTAATCGTAAGAGTGCACACTGATATGGTTTGCGTATCCGTGATGTGATGGGTTAAATGCGCGTTTTATGTCTGTAAATATTGTATGAGCAGGGTTTACGCCTGTCACGACTATCAAACAGAAATCATTCTTTCGCGATACTTACCGATTGTATAAATCACTTCGGTAAACTACAAACGAATCTGTTAATATTGGAAGTTGTTTTAATAAATCATTGCTGAAAATCCAGTTTAATGAGTCGCTGTTGAAAGCCCTTCGGACAGCATCACACTTCCAGTCAGCTGATCAGAGGCGCTTGTGTTTCGTTCAGCTCACAATGCGTTCAGAATGCGCAATGAGGGTATCCTTCAAATAACGAACATGAATTATAGTAAATCAATATAGTTTTTTAAAGTAAGAGTTTTAAGATATTTTAGCTGCTTTAAGGATTACATTTTTCTTTTTTTTTTTTCTTTTTTACATTTTCAATACAATTTTAAATAAAATATATTTTGTTAAATGCCACAAAACTTGGAGCAGCTTTAAGAAATCTGCAATAGCCTCCCGAGAAGCATAAAAAAAGTTTTGTGAATTTTTTTTTTTTTTTTTATGTCATTACATTGGTTGGAGCATAAGAAACATATGGGGATAAAACATTTTTGATACACACACGATATAAATAAGAGATTGATTGTGTAGTTAGTCCACTGATCTAGGCTATAATCGAGAATATCAGGTTGCTGATGTCTGGGCTTATTTATTTATTTTTAAATGGCATGAGACTCTGTGACTTCCTGCACTTGCTACACGTTATACTTCAGTACAGTAAAAGTACTCAAATGTGGTATTATTCTCATTTTATAATAAATTCAAGACATGACAAACACTAGGGAGATGAAATGGCAGCTGAACTGAGTGATTCTCTGCTTCCATCTACTGATTATAATGGTCATTTCATGTCATTTTCATCTTAAAAGTCTTTGTTTACCACCAGGAGATACATTTTTTGGCACAGTTTTTCATCTTCATAAATAAATAATGTGAATCATTAAAGTGAGTTTTACTGCACAGCTGTAGAGTTAAAAAAAAAATTAGGCTAGAAATATTTTTAAAATTAAATTTTTTTTTATTTTTATATTTAAAAAATGTGCACCATAGACAAACAGCCCTCAGTGGCCTGTAGCACGAAGTGAGATGAACAAACTCAGAGTTTGCTCAAACTAAACATGAACTTACCTGGGTAAAAACTGAAACCAGCTTTGTGCTACAGGGTTAAGGGCAGTGTGTAATTGTTTTGTTTGCGTTTATATATACAGTACTGTGCAAAAGTCTTAGGCCATTAGTATTTTCACCAAAAAAATGTTTTTAAGCCAGTTATTTTTTATATCTTTTGGTGTAGTGTGTCAGTATATCAGTTTACATTTGCAAACATTAATTTTGCCATTAATTGTAATAATCCAGTGAGATATTTGTATGTTTAGGAGTCTGAAAACAGCCAGTGCTCCATCATCCAGTCTGTCTGGAATGACATGAAGATACAGAAAAAACTGAGGCAGACTAAATCCAGAAGAACTCTGGCAACGTCTCTCAAGACACTTCAAGAAGCCTTCCTGCAAAGCTACCTGAAAAACTATGCGCACGTGTAACATAGGACAAAAGCTGTTTTAAACAAAAAGGGTGGTCACACCAAATGTTAATTTGATTTAGTTAATTGAAGTTAATTGATAAATAAAATCCATTTATGACATTATTTTTGAAAGCATCCTCACTTTACAGCAGTTGTACACAAGCGCCTAAAACTTTTCACAGTAGTTTTGTAGCTTAGGTTTCTTGAAGCATCTCGGAGATGTCTGCCACAGTTTTTTTCTGTATCATGTAATCCCAGACACACTGGATGATTGTGAGATCAGATCTCTGTGTGGACCACTGGCTGTGTTCAAACTCCTTGTGCATACAAATATCTCACTGGATTATTACAATCAATGGCAAAGGAATGTTTGCAAGGAATATAAACTGATATTTATGTCATTACATTGGTTGGAGCATAAGAAACATATGGTGATAAAACATTTTTGATACACACACGATATAAATAAGAGATTGATTGTGTAGTTAGTCCACTGATCTAGGCTATAATCGAGAATATCAGGTTGCTGATGTCTGGGCTTATTTATTTATTTTTAAATGGCATGAGACTCTGTGACTTCCTGCACTTGCTACACGTTATACTTCAGTATTTTTTTTTTTTTTATGTCATTACATTGGTTGGAGCATAAGAAACATATGGTGATAAAACATTTTTGATACACACACGATATAAATAAGAGATTGATTGTGTAGTTAGTCCACTGATCTCTAGGCTATAATCGAGAATATCAGGTTGCTGATGTCTGGGCTTATTTATTTATTTTTAAATGGCATGAGACTCTGTGACTTCCTGCACTTGCTACACGTTATACTTCAGTACAGTAAAAGTACTCAAATGTGGTATTATTCTCATTTTATAATAAATTCAAGACATGACAAACACTAGGGAGATGAAATGGCAGCTGAACTGAGTGATTCTCTGCTTCCATCTACTGATTATAATGGTCATTTCATGTCATTTTCATCTTAAAAGTCTTTGTTTACCACCAGGAGATACATTTTTTGGCACAGTTTTTCATCTTCATAAATAAATAATGTGAATCATTAAAGTGAGTTTTACTGCACAGCTGTAGAGTTAAAAAAAAAATTAGGCTAGAAATATTTTTAAAATTAAATTTTTTTTTATTTTTATATTTAAAAAATGTGCACCATAGACAAACAGCCCTCAGTGGCCTGTAGCACGAAGTGAGATGAACAAACTCAGAGTTTGCTCAAACTAAACATGAACTTACCTGGGTAAAAACTGAAACCAGCTTTGTGCTACAGGGTTAAGGGCAGTGTGTAATTGTTTTGTTTGCGTTTATATATACAGTACTGTGCAAAAGTCTTAGGCCATTAGTATTTTCACCAAAAAAATGTTTTTAAGCCAGTTATTTTTTATATCTTTTGGTGTAGTGTGTCAGTATATCAGTTTACATTTGCAAACATTAATTTTGCCATTAATTGTAATAATCCAGTGAGATATTTGTATGTTTAGGAGTCTGAAAACAGCCAGTGCTCCATCATCCAGTCTGTCTGGAATGACATGAAGATACAGAAAAAACTGAGGCAGACTAAATCCAGAAGAACTCTGGCAACGTCTCTCAAGACACTTCAAGAAGCCTTCCTGCAAAGCTACCTGAAAAACTATGCGCACGTGTAACATAGGACAAAAGCTGTTTTAAACAAAAAGGGTGGTCACACCAAATGTTAATTTGATTTAGTTAATTGAAGTTAATTGATAAATAAAATCCATTTATGACATTATTTTTGAAAGCATCCTCACTTTACAGCAGTTGTACACAAGCGCCTAAAACTTTTCACAGTAGTTTTGTAGCTTAGGTTTCTTGAAGCATCTCGGAGATGTCTGCCACAGTTTTTTTCTGTATCATGTAATCCCAGACACACTGGATGATTGTGAGATCAGATCTCTGTGTGGACCACTGGCTGTGTTCAAACTCCTTGTGCATACAAATATCTCACTGGATTATTACAATCAATGGCAAAGGAATGTTTGCAAGGAATATAAACTGATATTTCCTACTGACACACTACAGCAAAAGATATAAAAATAACTGGCTTAAACTATTTTTTGTTGGTGAAAATACTAATGGCCTAAGACTTTTGTACACAGTGCTGTATATATATATATATATATATATATACATTTTCATGTATTATAAAATGCATACATTTATACAAGTAACTTAAACAAGATCTTAATAAAGAGTCCTTCAAGTTTAGGCTCTACAAGAAAAACAGATGACAGTAACATGTTATTGTTCAGAGGACAAAATCCACTCCAGTGTGATTCTCCGAAAGGAATTTGCTAATGAATCTAAGATAAGAACATAATTCTTTCACGAGTCCTCTGATGTCCACCGCTATCCGAATCCTACTAAGCGAAAGGATGAGCTCATGAATATTAATCAGAGTTGGCTGACGTTCCTTGGAAATCCTGCCCAGAACGACCAGTCTCGAGCCAGGTCTCGAGCCGTAGCCACTCAGTAGAGCTGGTACTTTAGGCCCCGCCCCGTGTTCTCTAAACAGAGCGCTTCGCCCGCCCGCCCGCCTTCCTCCAGCAGCGACCATTTCTTCCTGTGAGACAGACAGCAGCGCTCTCGTGTTCGGCCGAGCCCTCTTCACACAGGCATATGGCGCATACAGCCTCCTTTCTTTCTTCTAGTTGTGTCCCCACCACTCTTTGAAAATTCCGCCGAAAAAGAGAAGACGATTTTCCAAATCATTCAGGCCGTTATCTCACGTAAGTACCGCGTTTGTTGGTGTTTTTAGTCTTCATCCCGGAAAACACGCCGTCCGCTGTAAGGAGCCGTGACACAACATGGCGGTTGCTTGTAGTCGCGCTTATACGGGCAACAGCAGTGCTCCGTGAAGGACAACGAGAAATAGAGTTCAAACTCACAGATTATTAGGATTAACTGTGTTTATTTATATAAATCATTAGTTGTCGGAGCATGGCGGGTTTGGGTGGCTGAATAGTGAGTTGGTTCAGTGGACAAACCCAGGCGCTTACGACATGTGCTGGCAGGTTATTGAGTAACGAGCGTTACACATTAAATATAAATACTGATTTACTGTGCTCTAATATCAGATGAGACATGCATATATATGGTAATACGATTGCTAACACTAGTTAGGTGTGTTTAAAATGTTGTTTTCCTAAGAAACGTTTTGCTAACATTAAGTTACCTCACACCAAAACACAAGTCACTTACATGCTTATTATAACGTTACCATAATAACGAAACAATAGTTTGAAAAATATCTATTTTTAATAGAACGGTTTATTGAACCTTTAAGCAAAGTGTAAAACAAAATCTTTACGGTTTTTTTATTTGCTATATATCAGGATGTTAAGACCCATGTTGTATGATATAGTGAGAATTTGGAGATCAAACAAGAGGAGGAAAAAACACCCCACTGATGATGTTGGGTCACATTTGATACTCATATTTTAACATGAATTTTCTAAAAGAGGATCAATTGGCTTTAGTCCATTCATTGTTCATCCTCTGATGTTACTAACAATATAAACGTTATTTTTACCTTATCAAAATCATTAAAGATTTCACAGCAAAAACACGTGTACCATTTACTTGCTAAAAAAGTATGGACAAAGCATGTAGAATGTTGATCTTTTAGAGGCCTTAGAAATTCATGTTCCAAATAATATTCTACATTAGACTTTATAGGGTTAAGGTGGTGTCCACATTAAGAAACAAACACCATGACCTCTGATAAATGTTCAACGAGTTACTTCATTTATTGACCCCATGTGGTAAGATAAAGATAAGACAGTGTTGTTTAATGCTTAAAAATGAGAACACGGAGTATCTGATCGCCAGGTCTGTTTAACTAGTCAAGTACAAAGTACAGCTGTAAATAAGTGGTCACTTAATAAAATCATTGTAGCCTACAAATAAAGTGATGCTGAAGACGTATAATGTACCCGTATCAAGAAAACTGGTTGTGTGTCTGTCAAGAGTTATTTTGGAAATTTACCAACCTGTCTGACTACATTTCTGTGCTATATAAGTTTATTTTATCCATCAGCTGCTCTTGTAAATCAAATATTTATGTATACACCTGTTTTTGTGACTCCACAGGGCTCCCCACTCTCTCTGCGAGTGTATAAGCGCTACCCAGAAGGCCTAGGGGAGGCCCTCTACCGCGAGCAGTTCGACTTCAACGCTGAGCCGCCTTGGGATCCTAGTTGATAGCGGGAGAGGACCATCTCCCACGTTGTCCATGTGAGTCTATAAATATTGGACACATCCCTCCTGAAGTATCGTTTAGAGACAATTACATAATAATATGATTTATTTAATTACACATGAAATCTGTGTCTGCACTTACCCAACTGTAGTGGATAGTTTTTGGTTTTACATAACACTATTTATGGCTTATATGTAATAACTTTGTCCCCCGCTCATACTGCACAAATCCATTGTTAATACCATCAAATGCTTCATTGTGCTTCAAAGCCACAGGGATTTATCTTGATTGGGTCGGAGTAAAAAAAAGTAGCCTGTAGGCCACATTCTTGAAGCCTGTGTGTTGTCGTCATCTCTAAAGATGGACTCATGTGATGCCTTCTCTAGTTATGTGATTCATTTTCCCTGCCTCTAGTATTTATTAGCCTCATAGAAACCCAATTTAGATCAGTGATAGCCTTACAGTGACTTTGACCTTCCTGTTCAAAGTTTGCTTATAAAACACTATTTTGAAATATGTGGGTTGGTGTTGTTGTACGCCTTGATGTAAAGTTTTGTGTGAAAACATAATGATATTTGTATGTTATGAAAGTTGTTATGAAACTACTATGCTATGGTTTCTTCTGAACAGTTTGTTGCATACCCAGAATACCCCAGCGGCTCAGTAAACTCTCTATGATTGTCGGATTTGCGGAATACGGTTGAGATGAAAGGATTCGTTGATGCACCAAACTACTTAATTGAACTACTTGAGTTAGGAACGACCCTTGACGATGTTATCGACAACCACGTCTATGAGCAAAATCTTGTGAGTTCAGAAAATCAGTCTCCAAGTAAATGTCTGACTGCATTATGAACATCTGTTTTAGTAAACAAATGGAACAAGTTTCTGTCTTTTTCATTGATTGATCTGATTTTGTTTGTCAGGCTGAAAAGAATGCATTTGTTGTGGCAGACCTTGGGGCCCTAATGCGACAGCATGTTCTGTGGAAGACCACTATGCCTCTCGTTCGACCCTTCTACCCAGTCAGCTGTAACAGCAGCCCTGTAGTCATTGAAGTCCTGTCTGCTCTTGGCGTTGGTTTTGTCTGTGCAAATAAGGTAAAACATTTTTTTTTAATTCTTACCTGTAGATATTAGAAAGATCTCGAAGCATGTATTTTGAAAGCACACCATCTAATAGAAATGTTAACTTCTTTCAGGCTGAAACCACATTGGTACTCAATCATGATGTCCCTCCTGAGAACATCATCCTGTCTGGAGTTTGCAAGCAGCTTTCACTCATTAAACACGCGGCCAAGACCGGCATTAACTATCTGGTGTGTGAAAACGAGGCAGAGCTTCGCAAAATTGCCCGTGCCCATCCTGAGGCTAAGTAAGTCCTTAAAGCATATCATATGTGTAATGTACATTAAATTAAAATGTGTCTATGTATATTTTATATATGTCAATACAATTATCTTTAAGAAATTAATACTTTCATTCAAACATTATATTGTTTTCAACTTGGTAATAAGAAATGTTTCAAATCAGCATATTAGAATGATTCCAGAAGGATCATGTGGCACTGATAATATATTAAAATAGACAACCGTTTTTAATTTATAATACTTTAAACTGTTTTTACTGTAAAAAAACATTTAAAAAAATCTTACCAACCCAAAACTTTTGAATGGTTATATATATATATATATAATTTATTTGATATTGTATTATATGTGACCCGTGCTGGCAAAATTTATCGAAATGCGCACAGACTAATTTTGAGCTACAGGCACAAAAGTGAAAAATGTCAATTTTGCTTGCATTTGAAGTTTTCACAAAAATGAGATCATTAAGCCCTTGTCTAGCGATCCGAATGTTCCAGATAGTAATTAAACATAAAATTGTCTTTATTTGTATGTTTTCTGAGAGGTGTACCTATCTCTCTGCTCGCTTCTTGACGACTGGTGCTTCCTCTCAGCACAAGTTTAACATTGTAAACTGCAGCATTCCAGCTTTGTGAAAATTCATAGCAAATTCTCGATGGCATGAGTCTGAACCAGTGAAATGTGATGTTCAAACCCATGCTGATGTAAACAAAACGATCACGCTGACTGACACATCTGAAGTGTGCACATAAAGACTGTCTGTCTCATTAAAGTTAATATAACAATTAAAGACAAGAGGAAATCGCTCGCTGCTCTTGTTTGAACTGCTTTTGTAGTTTTAATAATCCGTTTATTTGTAATGAATACACTAAAGTGATTTTTACATTTGATTAGCCTATTTGTTTTTCTTACTTGAATGCTTCTATTTAGATGTAAGATGAAAAAGGCACTATTTAATTTATTTATTTCTTGTATTATAATTGTTTTACTGTTTATTTGCATTTTTGTTCTAATTATTAATAACAAAGATAAAATAAAAAATAGCTATTTGTGATTATTAAAATAGTAATTAAGAAAAGAAGTGGAGGAGAAGATGCAACGTTGCAGGTGATTTTGTTTTGGAACCTTCAGAAAACTTGAACTCGATTTTTCTAAAAATTGTCTTTGCTGACTCTATGGACTTCAAACAGGTGTAGCTCATTCATTTTTTGGTTGATTCCAATAAATCATACATCAGGCCAGCACAGGTCACATTTGATTTATTTATAATAAATGTTTATTATATATTTATGTAATTCTCTTTCTGCACTTTTCTTGTCTTAACAGGCTTTTGCTTCAAGTCTCTACTGAAGCACAGGTTGAGGAGGCAAGTCTGACCATTGGTTGCTCCCTAAAGAGCTGTAGACACCTTCTGGAAATGGCCAAGGAGTTGAGTGTGAATGTGGTTGGAGTCACGTAAGTCAAGTGATTTGGTCACCGCTAATCTGCTGTGGCTCACTTTGTCTTAAGAGTTTTTAGAAAGTGGGACTTTTTTTTGTTTGTCAGGTTCCAGGTACCAGCATCATGCAGAGATCCCCAAGCATACACCCATGCACTGTCAGACGCCCGCTGCATCTTTGACATGGCAGTGAGTAGTCGTACGAATATTAGATTTATCTGTAAATTTCATGTATCTGTTGGAGTGCTGAGTCTTTCTTGTTACTACAGAAGGAACTTGGCTTTGACATGAAGATCCTGGATATTGGTGGAGGATTCAGTGGTTCTGAGTTTCAGTTGAAACAGGTACGGCAAGTATATGTCTCATTTGTTTTTCTTTTTTGAATATCATCCGCTTACTCAAAGCTTTTCTTTCATTTCTCTTTGATCAGGTACATTCGATCGTCAGACCCCTGCTGGAGGCTTATTTCCCCTCAGTGTCTGGAGTGAGCGTCATTGCTGAACCAGGACATTTCTTTGTGTTTTCCTCCTTCACTCTGGCTGTCAATGTTATTGGCAAAAAAGCAGTATACCAGGATCTCCATTGCAGCACACATGGTGAGTCCAATCATATTTGCCCTTTAAGGTATTTTTGATGAAATCCGAGAGCTTTCTGACCCTGCATAGACAGCATCACAACTGAAACGTTTTATGGCCCAGAAAGGTAGTAAGGACATTGTCGTGTGCATTCCTCTGCTTGTAAACAAGTCTCAGCGCATGCGCGTTCTACGTCAGAACGCCGGCTCCTGCTTCAGCGGCATCATCACACATGCATCATGGCACTCTCATGAATGGCAGCGGAGACTGACCCGGAAGAGAAGAAATCGTTGAATAAAGTTCAAGGCACTAGTCCTCAATCTAAAATTGAACATTCAAATGGTGTATATTTCAAATTCATGTGTGTCATGTGTGATTATTACAGCTCACTGTTTTATAAAATCACGTCCTTTAGAAATGAAATATACCTTTTGTCCACTAATGGACCGTTGCCTGGTTTTGACTGTAAAATTGTGCTTGTAAAAGTAATTAAAATATTAATTTAATACATTTCTGACCAAATACGATCGAGTCGTTTTTGTGTCTCAGTGTTTTTTGTTTAATGTAGACCCTTGAAAGCTTAGTACAATAACCCCTTTGTGAATGAATAAATTCAACTACAATACCCAAAGCAACACTGACATTACATATATTTTATTTTTGTATTGAACCAGCTGACAGGTGGTTTTATATTGTAATTGCAGCTTTACGTAAGACGAGAAGCAAAAGGGTTAATTTCTGTAGAGAGGAACAGTGGAGGAGGAGCTATGAGCGTGTTTGTAAGTTACACCGCTCAATGACAGACGACGAAGAGAGACCGCTGCTGACCAAACACGATTAACCATGAACTCCAGTGTAAGCAACCCTCCGACGAGCATTATGGAACATCAGGTGATATTAAACTTATTCTACAGCATTTTAGTGCGATTTCGCGGCCTTCAAATAAGTGTTGAATCTGCCTGCCTGGTTATGTGTGCGGCTGTGAGCTTTCATAACAAAGAGCCTCTCACATTAGGTAAAGGAGTTAAATAAAACGAAATATAGCATTGATGATATGAAACAAATCTAAAGTATTGTATAATAATAATGACAGTGTCAGTAAAAAGGGTGTTATGGGTTGTGGATAGCGACAACAACATTTGGATTAGGTATAAAAAGTTGTAACATTAAGGTCTGGATTAAGTGAATTAAAGACTGAGAATTCACATTAAGAATCAAAGATTTGGATATTTATTTTCTAAGTTAAATGTAAATATAATGGAGGATTGCGGTGTTGTTGTTAAAAACCTTCCATTTAAAGGGATAGTTCACCCACAAATGAAAATGTGATGTTTATCTGCTTACCCCCAGGGCATCCAAGATGTAGGTGACTTTGTTTCTTCAGTAGAACACAAACTCCAGCCGTTGCAGTCTATCAGTCGTATAATGCATGGCAATGGTAACAAAATCTATGAGAGTAAAAAAAACATGCACAGACAAATCCAAATTAAACCCTGCGGCTCGTGATGATACATTGATGTCCTAAGACACGAAACGATTGGTTTGTGCGAGAAACCGAACAGTATTTATATCATATTTTACCTCTAATACAGCACTATGTCCAACCGCTTTGAACGCGCGCACGGCATCCGGTGCGTGAGGTGTGTACGCGCTCTGGCGTAGTTTACGTTAATGGGTGTGTTGATATCCAGCCGAAGAGCAATCAACCATAACTTCAGGCGAGCAGGCTCAGAAGTTGGGAATACGTGGAAAGTCACCACTCCCGAATGAGTTTGCGCGAGAGAACGTAATCTTTTAGTTTTCAAGTAGCCGTCGTACCTACAATGACTGTGCACTGTGTAAACAATGAGTGACGTATACGCGCGAAAGATCACTTCCGGCGCTTGCGTAAACTCAAGGAAGTTGGACATAGTGGTGTATTAGAGGTAAAAAATTATATAAATAAATACTGTTCGGTTTCTCGCACAAATCGATCGTTTCGTGTCTTAGGACATCAATGTGTCGTCACGAGACACACGCAGGGGTTAATTTGGATTTGTCTGTGCATGTTTTTTTTACTCTCATAGATTTTGTTACCATTGCCATGCATTATACGACTGATAGACTGCAACGGCTGGAGTTAAAAATCATAATTTGTGTTCTACTTAAGAAACAAAGTCACCTACATCTTGGATGCCCTGGGGGTAAGCAGATGAACATCAAATTTAAATTTTTGGGTGAACTATCCCTTTAACTATCTCGCAGCATCTGTTCCCCTGGCGCTCTCATAATGAATAATGTAGGAAGACAATATAGTTAAAACATCTTTAAAAACACTCATTCCTCTATTTAACAGTTATGTTTCTCCTGCAGAATGGTCACAAGGATGTTGACACAAACAGTGTTGAAGACGAACCCCTTCTCAAAGAAAACCCAAAGCGATTTGTCATTTTTCCTATTCAGTATCCTGACATCTGGAAAATGTACAAACAAGCTCAGGCTTCATTCTGGACTGTTGAGGAGGTGAATATTATTTTTTATTTATCAATTTAATATTAGGATTATCATTTTGGTTACTCTGAAAATGGAAAAACTTGAATGTATTGTAATAGCTGTTGTACTTACAAAACAATGACAACGTGCGACCACCATATGCCAGGACACTGGTGGAATTAATCGGATAATTCACAACAAAATTCGTTAAACATTTAAATGTCATCAACGATAGCTATAACTATAAAGCTGTAATAATTGTTCTCATTCTGTAAGAACAGTGCAGTCCACTCCACAGAGGAATGAAATCGTTAAAATAGCTTTTTTTCCAGCTGATAACGATAAAAACATTCAATCAATAAAACAGAGTATCAGAATCGACCAGGCAAAGGGCTTACTTGCGTATTTAAATCGGCAGAGAAAATAACTGCAGCATGTGCTTATTATAAGCTCAACGTTGTTGTGTGTTGGTGACGACGCTAATACGCATATTATTATAGTTATTAATTTTATTGGGTTCTAGTTCTTGTAATGTTGTGAGAATTGGGAAGTACACGCCACAATTACAATGAAAAACCCAGAGGAACGATATCGTTGAAATGGCTTTCAGAATGATTTTTTTTCCTGCTGATAAACCGTAAAACATTGACAGCCAATCAAAATCAAGCAGGACATGCATCAAATGCTTATGATAAACAGTTTATCTTCTATTGCTTATATAGTTATTGTTGTAGTTATCGTTCTTGTAGCAAACTGGGCCTTTACTCACCCTCACTTTATTCCTGTCCATTAAAGTAAGAAACCCACATTTTAAATAAGCTGAGGGTGAATTTTCATTTTTAATGAACTAGTCCTATAAGAACATTTAATTAAAATTACTATTTATGCTTGTCACTGGTGAATGTGAAACTGCTTATCATTTCAATGGTTTGTTTAGGTGGATTTATCAAAGGACTTGGTTCACTGGGACAGCCTGAAGTCTGAAGAGAAACACTTCATATCCCATGTACTGGCTTTCTTTGCAGCAAGTGATGGGATAGTCAACGAGAACCTGGCAAGTGCGCCTCCTTCTAACCTACATTAAGGCTATGGAAACCTATATACAATTTTAGATTGAATAGATCAGTACAAGTTGTGTTCCTACTAAACATCATGCCTTTACTTGTCACAGGTGCAGCGGTTCAGTCAAGAGGTGCAGATCCCAGAGGCTCGCTCCTTCTACGGCTTTCAGATCCTCATAGAGAATGTGCACTCCGAAATGTACAGCATGCTCATCAACACCTACATAAGGGATCTGAAAGAAAGGTGAGACCAAAATTAAGTGTGCTTTTCTATTTCAACAATGTCAGTTATACTTTTTAAAGTGCTTTTACAAAGGTGACAGGTGCAAGATTCAGTTAAGCAGTTTATGCTAACATTTTCCTTATGTGGTTTATGAGCAAACGATGCAAGATATTTTTTTCTAGCCACAAAAAAAAGAGTCTTACATGAGAGATGAAGTTATTGATTGTTCAACTTGTGTTTTATCAGAACATCTTTGATTGAAATTGTAATACGTTATAACCAATCATACATAGTCTTTAAACATAACATGTTTATTTATTTATTCATTCATGCATTAATTAATTAATTCATTTTCTCTCTATAAATCCAAACTTCTTAAAGGGACTATTTGTTTAATGCAATTCACACCATGCCTTGTGTAAGGCGGAAAGCAGACTGGGCCTTACAGTGGATCTCTGACACAAACTCAACTTTTGGTGTGTGGAAAAATACTTTTTTCTTTAAAAAAAAGTATACAATATTATTACGACATTACACTTGATCAACAACAGTGTTTGCATATTTATTTCTTTTTAGGAGAGCGATTAGTAGCATTTGCAGCAGTGGAAGGCATCTTCTTCTCTGGATCATTTGCTGCCATCTACTGGTTGAAGAAAAGAGGCCTGATGCCCGGACTCACCTACTCCAATGAACTCATCAGCAGAGATGAGGTTAAAACTTAAAGATATTTATATCTTTATGATGTTTTGATCAAGGTTTGTTATCTGTATCCCTGATAAAAAAAAAAACTAGAGAGATAATAAGAAATCCCAGTGAAAATCTAATCAAGGCTAGTATTGATTGTGCCATCTGAAACTTCACAGGGTCTGCACTGTAATTTTGCATGTCTAATGTACAGCTACTTGGTGAAAAAACCTTCTGCTGACCGAGTGAAAGACATCATCACAAAAGCTGTGACCATTGAACAGGTACATACACTTTGCTGTACTCGAGTAATGCAGAATGCATTATTTCAGACATGAATGTAATTGCATTTGTATTTGCTTGTTTTCTGTAGGAGTTTCTCACAGAAGCCTTACCTGTCAATTTGATCGGGATGAACTGCTCTCTCATGAAGCAATACATTGAGTTTGTGGCTGACCGGCTGCTAACAGACTTAGGATTGCCCAAAGTCAGTATTTTATCGGGATCGTGTTATGATTTTTGTCTGATAATCTTTATATTTATATAACAGTGCTTTTTAAATTCTGTCTCAAAAGGTTTACAAGTCAGAAAACCCCTTCGACTTCATGGAGTCAATTTCATTGGAGGGAAAAACTAATTTCTTTGAGAAGCGAGTGGCTGAATACCAGCGACTTGGAGTGATGTCAAATGTGATGGACTGTGAATTCACTCTTGATGCAGATTTCTAACGATGAACTACAAGAAATATTATTTATTTTTTTGGACAGTTTCAGTAAAACAAACAAAAAACCAAACAAGCCATATCATCTTCAGACCATGTCGAAAAGACATGGAAATCAAGTTGATCAGTTTCTGAATAACGTGGTTATGAATTTGTCAAAGGGCTCACCAAAGTGGACGTGTGGCTTTAGCGTATTCAGACCAGACTTGGTGTGTGTTATGACAACCATTATCTGAGGTTACATGCACAGTTTCAGCACACTGCCACCAGTGGTCAGGAGATATGAAAAAAATTACTTCTTACTGGTTTGGCCAAAAATCACATGACTCTGGTCTCTTTAAATTTGGAGCAGCATGCCAAGTCGAATGGTATCCAGTTTTCCCATGTCGACCATTTTGGGCATTAACCACTTTGCATTTTGACAAAATAAAGCAATTTTTTACGAATGCATTGGTATATTGTTCTGAAACTTGGTATGTGTCTTCAGCACAAACTCAAAATGTTTTATGAGTTTTTAAAATTATAATGAAATAAAATTTAATTAAAAAAACGCTAATAACTTTTGATTATTTTTGCCTCTTGTCATAAGACTGGTCTTGTTAGATTCCTTGGATTATGCCGAGAACATCGATACCAATTATGCCATAATCAGCTGAACTTCCTGTCCGCCATTTTGATTTACGTTGAAAACCTACTTTTTCAAACTCCGCCTAGACCATTGTTCCAATTTTCACCAAATTCGACCCAAATCATCTTTAGACCATGCCGGCAAAAGGTTATGGATTTCGTGTTGATAGGCATAACAGTTTTCATTTACTGCATTAACTAATTTGATGGCATAATGCCAAACTGCAGCTGAGGCTGTATCTCTTCATAGCTTGGACATACTGACACCAAACTTTGTGTGTCTGTCAAGATCACTAGTCACCATGCCTGTCACCACTGCACACTACATCTCCCACAATCCTCCCTGGTTACCACCTGCACTCACTTCACAATCACAACAGCTGTTTGCCATCACTCTCATCTACATAAGCTAGCACCACACACACAGAGATTGTCTGGTCTCATCTCTGTGTAGGACTGCTATGTGTTTTATGACTTCAGCTAGAACTGCATGGACTGTTACGCTTACTTATCAGTGTGATCTTCCGTTCTGCCATTCATCAATTTTCCTTCCTTCGATCCTTGTTTCCTCCAGATTATCTGGTTACTACCTGTAAAGCTAATAGACATTATTATCCGTGCAGTGCAACAGTGATTTTAAAGGTGTGTAGTGCTACTTACCTCTCTGGACTTCATCATTCTTCATCTGCTCTGGTTGTTATATTGTATGTTCCTTCATTACTAGTACCGTATTCACTTGCTTGTTAAACTCACTTTTACACACCTGCACTATCGAGTCTGTGTTCCCTGACAGTGTCATTGTCACCTCACAGTGATCACACCACATACATTTGTTAATAGCGCCACTTATTGGTCAAAATTGATGAACCATTAAATTATATTACTAATCAGGGTTTCGGAACGGTTTACATTTTTTGAATTTGATTATTTAGTTTTTTTACTGGATCTCCGTTATATATGTGATGCTTTGAGTTCCGTAAATAATTCTCATACAGTGCTGTCCTTGGACGTGAGGTAGGGAGCAGGGTCCCCCTCGGTCTGTTGGCTGTGGGGCACCCCCATAAGGATGGCCCTGAATGTATATTTCCTTTGAATATAGCCTAGTCTACTCTTGACAGTTTTTTTTCTGAACTGAATCAGCGTAGTCCTGCATGAATGACTTTTGAGTATTTATTTATTTATTTTTTGTGAATCAGAAACATTTGATGAATCGATCGAACGTATTAATTAACCCTGTTCAAGTAAAAAAAAAAACAGAAATGTTATTCTGTAGCTATGGCTAGTGAGACTAAAATCAGCATCGTTGCTGATTTGACAAACCCAGACCGAATAAAAGGCTTAGTTACTAGCCTAAATGTTTATTTATTTAGTGATTTTATTTAAAATGCAGTCAGAACCAATTACTGAAGCAATTTCTGGTGGGTTAAAACTGAAGTAATTTGGCAATAGACTAAGGTTATTTAAATGCAATAAGAATTTAATTTATTTTTTGAAAATATTTCTTACTCAAAAGAAGCCTATCAGTAGTGGAACAGTGAAAGAGCACAATAATGGGTCGTTCACTTGCAGAACTCAAGCTTCTAGAGGGCACATAAGTCTAAAGTAATGAATTTAGGTAAATGGGTGCAGAGCCAGTGGTGGTTTTGTAGGCAAACATTAATGCCTTAAATTTAATGCGAGCAGCTACTGGTATGATTATGGTACTGGTAATGAATTAATTGATGTTTTTTTTAAACAATCAATCAATGAATAAAATAAACCAAAATAAAATTATGAATATGACAAAAAAAAAAGAAGTAATTAATAAATAAACGGAAACAAATAAGGAAAGCAAACTAATCAATAGAATCTCCAAAAGAAATCTCATATTGTTTCCAGAATCTGTCACATTTGTATTGCTATTTAAAAAAAAAAAAAGAGAACTCAGAAATTTACCTCAATCAAGAAGTGAGACCGTAGGACATGAGCCCGGAAGATTTTTTTTTATAGATAAAAATGATCAAACCGACTAAAAAAATTGAGGATATATCCTTCGACGACTTTCCTCCTTTTGACGTCCAAAAATGCTGTGCCCTCCTAAGACACACAAAAGTGTTGTCTAGGTAGTCAGATCGATATGTTTTGAGACACAGCCATCATGTAAAAGGCGAGAAATATAAAAGCCACTCCCTCCTGCCTTTCACTCTCTCCCCGCTGCCAGCAGCAGCTCACTCTCCCTCTCTGCGTGCGGTTCTTGTCCGCCTGTTTAAAATGGACCAGGACTGGCGAGCTTTGGCCACACGGCGAGCCGAATACGTGTCCAAAAATTCATTTGGGCTTCTCATGGGCTACTTGTGTATGTTTTGCAAGTGAAATTAGTCAAATGGATTCAGCAGACAAAAAGTGCGCCATAGACTTGCTTTCCGCTCACTGATCTCCATAATATAGATTATAAATATATTATGGTATTATCTATATTATTTATGGATGTTTCAGGGTGCTTTCACCCTTGGTTCGTTTGCCTGGTCCGAACCCAAGTTCGATTGCTCCCTGCTCCCCCCTCCCCCTGTCCCTGCTGGTTTGTGTTCATACTGTGTTTTTTTTGGTTTCGAGCCACGGTACGTTTGCGTCATCAGAATGGCAGCTGTTTACCCCATTACTAGGTAACGACTATGCAGCAGACAGCAAAATGAATGGATGCTTTCTTGTTTCGTTTTTGTACTTCGAATTTTGAAAATTTATTCATTTCCAAAGCGCCAACACAGAAATGAGATTTAAATTCTCTCTGCTTCAGCGTGTCAGTCACGCTTTTCAGGAAAGCCTGTGAGTAAACCCATAAATACACAGTTTGAACAATGCATAGGTCATTAATAGTGGTTCACTTCTGTGTTTTAGTACGATTGCGTTCACATCAGAAGCGAACTGTACTGAGTTCAGAAAACAGCGCTGCATCATCCAACCCATAAATACACAGTTTGAACAATGCATAGGTCATTAATAGTGGTTCACTTCTGTGTTTTAGTACGATTGCGTTCACATCAGAAGCGAACTGTACCGGAGTTCGCATGAACCATACCCTAGACCACCCTTTTAAGGCGGACCCAGGTGCGCACCTGAGTTCAGAAAACAGCGCTGCATCATCCGAATGAGCCGAACTCTGGTGTCAAACGAACCCAGGTGCGCACCGGAAATGCTAGTGTGAAATCCCCCTCTACATGCACTTTCCAAAGTCGCAGCTCAGGTGTCATCTGGAATCAGTTTCCCTCTTGTAAATATGACTTTGCTTACATTCAGTGCTCGGAATCCATAATTATGAATTATTATATTTCTGACTCCACTTGTAGGGCACATTAAAATTACTTGGATAGACAGGCTTGGAATGTACATTTGACTCTTTTGCACAGTAGTGCTATGAAGGTTTGAATCGGCCTTGGTTCAGTCTCTAAACAGTGATTGAGGGAAGTCGGGTGTCAGTATCGGCCTGTAATTTGATAATGCAGATACGGCAAATGTAGGGTACATCCAAATGGGAAACTATGTACTTTGTCCCAAGGCCTCAAACTTTAGGCATATTTTTTTACAAGGCTGAATAAGTATTTTTAGATCTATTTCTTACTGTCTGCAGTGGCACTTTGTGCTTGTAGTAAGTGTGAGAGTAAGAAAGATACTTTGTTTCTGACTTGTCAGGAAGTTCTAAATTAGTATTTTTGGCTCCTACGTAGACCAAGAAAAACAAGAAGAAACCAAAACCAGAGGTGAAGCCAAAACAAGATGTTTCCTCCACTGGTGGCAAGGAACCTGATGAAGGTATGAAACTGGGTTACCAAACTGTAGTGGCAACTTCACATTTTCAGTGTGAAGGCTTTTTTTTTTAGTAATGAGTCTGTGATTTGAAATGCAAAACATCAGAAATTCATATGAGCTGCTTGTATGAGATGCACTTTCAGTATGACTGTGTTTAGCAGGTGCTTGGGAAACCAAGGTCAGTAATCGAGAAAAACGTCAGCAGCGCAAAAAAGAGAAGGGTCCTGGTGACAGCTCTGGGAGCCCTGTGGGTGGAGATCGTGCCAGCCAGAAGGTAGAGCAACCTGCGGTTACAGTCCCAGCTGGCACCAAAAAGAACAAAGGTATGCATTTCCTATACCGAGTACTTTCCTTGAACACATTTCTGCAAAGGCATCCCAGAAAATGTTAATTCACAAGGATTTCTTTTAAGATGTATGCTAGTGTTAGTCATTGGAGCACTCTTCCTTTGATTTATTGTAGAGTCATCACGTGCCAAGGCCTCGAAGGGTGATGCCATTATAGGTAAAATGAAAGTTCTCATAAAATGAATATAGAATCTGTGAATGTTTCACCTTTTCTTTATGAAAGACTTGGAAAATGAATGGACTTAAATATTTAAATACAATAGAACACTTAATTGGCAACTAAAAGTGATATTTAAAGTGAGTGACGTGACGTGTGGCCAAGTATGGTGACCCATTCTGTGTGTGCATCCAAGTGCGCACACACAGCAGTGAGTAGTGAACACACACTCGGAGCAGTGGGCAGCAATTTTTGCTGCGGCGCCCGGGGAGCAGTTGGGGTGCCAAGTTCGGTGCCTTGCTCAAGGGTCTCACCTCAGTCGTGGTATTGAAGGTGGAAGAGAGCGCTGGTCAATCACTCCCCCCCACCTACATTCCGAGACTCGAACCCGCGACCTTTGGGTTACAAGTCTGACTCTCTAACCATTAGGCCACATCTGCCCCGTAAGTGTTATGTATTTCATACAATTTATAAATGAAATTTTTATTGAGGGCGTAGATTCATGTACTTTAGTTCAAAAGTTGTGGTACAGTAAGATTTTTTTATTTATTTATTTGAAAGAAATGACTACTTTTATTCAGTGAGGATGCGTTAAATTGATCAAAAGTGACTAAAGATTTTACAATGTTAAAGATTTGTTTCAAAAATGCAGTTCTTGAAGGAATACTGTAAAAGAAATCACATTTTTTGTGAGGAATAATCACAGTTTCACGTTTATTACGATTATTATGCATTTATTCATTTCACAACATTACTAGTGTATAAAATCACATGAACACTCTTTAGATTTAAAAAATATTAAACGGCTGTTTTCAACCGTGATGATGAGAAATGTTTCTTGAGCAGCAAATTAACATATCTGAATGATTTCTGAAGGATCATGGGACACTGCAGACTGGAGTAATGATGCTGAAAATTCAGCTTTGCGTCACAGGAATAAATTATTTTAAAACATTATAATAGAAAATAAATGGTCATAATATTTCACAGTTTAATTATTAATGCTTGTACTTTATTTTTGATCATATAAATGCAGCCTTTGTGAGCAAAAGAGACTTCTTTCAACAACATCTTACCATCCCCAAACTTTTGAAACTAATGATATGACAGAATATACTTTACAAATTTCACCCTTTTCTTTTAGTGACATCTAACTGTAATGATGTGAACTCTGTAAATGGTGGAGGATGGACAGAGGGTCCTGTAAAGTCAACCCAAACAAATGCTTTAAACAATAAGAAGTTGTCTGTTGGGAAAAAGACCCCTGGGAACAAGAACTGTGAGAACTCCACCTGGAAACAAGAACCAGAGGGTAATAAATCAGAGTTGTTTATGACCCTGCCTTGGTGCGTTTATAACAAGTATGGCTGCTTTTAAGGGTTTTTAGCTTTACAATAAGCTTTCAGATTATCGTGACAGATCTTGGAGTTTCTTGTTACATGTAGTAATCCGATGGTAGTTCCAGTGAAATTTGAGGAGTTCTTTTTCCTTACTTAATTTTATGTTTGGCATTTTAACAACACATTTATCACAGAGCTTTATATTTATGTGCCGTCTTATTTTTTGACAGGGCCGTGGACTGGTTTGAATGGTAGAATTAAGGCAGAAACTAAACCAGTAAACGTGCTCAGACTGAACCCATCAGGTACTTATTTTTTTATTTTCATTAGGCTGTCATTCTTGCGAGGATCAAATAATTTTGTCCTTGTATGCTAATAATCACTAGAAACATGAAACTTTATCTTTTCCCATGTATTTTAACAGGTGGAGAGACTGGGACTAAATCTAACCGTGATAGCGGCCAATGGGACAATGAACGCACCAGTGAATGGTCCAGCTTAAGTAAGATCAAAACCTATTTAGACTCCGTATTTGCTTGATAAACATTTTAATCCAAAATGCACTACCATTCCAACGCTCTACGCCAGGGGTTTTCAACCCCAGGGGGGCGCGAGCATCTGTTAATTCATATTATTAAAAGATTATACTACTACGACTACTATTAGTAGTACTCTTTTTAGTTTAAAAGAGTCTTTGTACTCTTTTAAACTAAAGTTGCGGCTCTCTCGTAACCTCTGCACACAAGTGCTTGTCAATGCAGGTTTCTGTTGTTGTTGCAGTCTCCACTATTTTGTTGTTGTTCTGTCTCTTTAGTTTGTGAAACAATGTCCCGGCCAGTGTTGCCACTTCGTGGAACAACTGATTAGTGCAAAACCAAGTCAATGCGCATGTGTGTCTAAAGTATGCTCTGTTACAAAAATCGGATGGTGCGCGTACAGTATGCGCATACTATTTTGGTGACAACTTTTGCGTCATGCGCAGTTGCGCACTGTATGCGGACCCTTCACGTATGCATAAAAACCGTAATATACTTTGGCCTTAAAAATACAGTAAAAGCAGTAACACAATAGTGAAATGTTGTCAATTTAAAATACCTGTTTTCAATTTTAATATGTTTTAAAATGTAATGTATTCCTGTAATGCAAAGCTGAATTTTCAGCATCATTACTCCAGTCTTCTGTGTCACATGATCCTTCAGAAATCATTCTAATATACTGATTGCTCAAACACAACATTATTATCAATGTTGTTCAGTTTAATATTTTTGTGGAGACTGTTTTTCAGGATTCTTTGATGAATAGAAAGTCAAAAAGGAAGTCTTTTCTTTTAAATAAAAACATATTTTGTTACTTTTATAAAAGTCTTAACAGTCATTAAGACTTAAGATAGTATTATGAAAGACTATTAACATCACCAGTGTCCTCCTATGATTTCAGATGGTCTTCCCTCTGGGGACCTGAGCTCCTCAGACTGGAATGCTCCAACTGAGTTATGGGAGAATTTTGAAGATCCCAAAGTAGATGCCCCTGTTTTGAAAGAGATGCCGGTTTCCAAGCCACTTGTGGTATGAAAAAAAAACCTGCATTCAATTATTGTTTTATAGTTTAAATCAACAAGACTATTAGTAGAAATATTTCAATATTTGTTCCAGTTGCAGGAATCAAATGATGACAATGACAAGGCAGACCCTGCAGGAGGTGGAAAATCCAAAAGGCGAAAGAAAAAGAAGAGACCAGAGGAAGTCAGTTCAGCCGCTGAGGTAACAATTACGTTTTAATGAACGAAGTATAGACATAACTAATTAATACCATGTTTGAATTCTGCAGTCGAAACCGACCAAGTTGTACGTTCCTCTTCCAGGTGACTCAAGTAGGTTCTGCTCCTGCAGAGAAGATTGTGACTGTCAAGCCTCGTCCTCCTCATGTTCCAAAGGATGAGGGATCCAAGCAAAACATCCCTCCACAGTCTTCACAAAGTGAGTGGGTCATAGGTGATGTCTGTCTGTCTATTCTGTATTAAAAATTGTATATTTAGAACATTAATCTTCACATGAATTTATGAATTTAATTGCACTCATGCTACCTCGGAGCCTCATTAAACGTCTGAAAATGTACCTACAAGCCACTTTTGTGTTCTTCTGTGCCACCTCTGTAGTACAAATTAATTTATTAATACTAATTTCATATGATTGGTAACTTATTTGTCTTATACTACATATTGTTTTAAAATAAAATAAAAAAGATTATAAACATAGATGAAAATGATGCCATTACAAAGTTAAAAATAAAATACTCCTGTAAGTCACTTTAAGGAGTCAAATATCACCTCGTATTAGGAAGGCAGATTTTTTATCAAAATTTGATTATTGATCAGAAGGGTGATCCTAAATTTTTAAATTAGGAAGACAAGCGCTCCTAATTACAAGAAGAAAAAAACTGCTCATAAACTGGGTGTGTGACCGGTATGGCTGAGGAATGGGGTTTGGTCCAAGAAAAATTCAGTCAAAATATATATATATTTTTTTGCTTTAACCCCTGCAATATAATAAGTAGAATAAGACAAATAAGTTGCCAATCATATGAAATTAGTATTAATAAATTAATTTGAACAACACAAAAGTGGCTTGTAGGTACATTTTCAGACGTTTAATGAGGCTCCGAGGTAGCATGAGTGCAGTTACATTCATGTGGAGATTAATGTTTTAAATATAAAATTTTGAAAACAGAAATACGATTTTGAAATTGTAAGTCACTTTAAGGAGTCAAATATCACCTCGTATTAGGAAGGCAGATTTTTTATCAAAATTTGATTATTGATCAGAAGGGTGATCCTAAATTTTTAAATTAGGAAGACAAGCGCTCCTAATTACAAGAAGAAAAAAACTGCTCATAAACTGGGTGTGTGACCGGTATGGCTGAGGAATGGGGTTTGGTCCAAGAAAAAATCAGTCAAAATATATATTTTTTTTTTGCTTTAACCCCTGCAATATAATAAGTAGAATAAGACAAATAAGTTGCCAATCATATGAAATTAGTATTAATAAATTAATTTGAACAACACAAAAGTGGCTTGTAGGTACATTTTCAGACGTTTAATGAGGCTCCGAGGTAGCATGAGTGCAGTTACATTCATGTGGAGATTAATGTTTTAAATATAAAATTTTGAAAACAGAAATACGATTTTGAAATTATACGCTAAAAAATAAACTAAATCCGCCAGCAGGTGGCAGCAAGGCACTAATTTTATCACTGAATCATTAATTCAGTTGATTCGTTCGAATGGCTGAATCATTCAGGAATGAAGCAAGTGACTGTCTTTATGAACTGACGGAAATCCATCGTAGCGACGGAACTTTAATCCCTCTATCTATCTAATTGTAATTTATTAATTTTAATTTAATTGTAATTATTTTAGTACTTCGAGTTAAACTAATTGAAAAATGAGATGTTGTCTTATCAACTTGCTGAAATAAAATAAGTTTAAAGGTTTTTATATTGCATTTTATTTCAGTTAACGTTTATTTTAAATAACAAAAATATTTTTTATAGTTGTGGTTTTAGTTAACTATAATAACCCTGGTGAGAATGATTAACAGCAATAGTATATGTGTGACCAAATTCATTTGACGGAGTAAAAATTCTTGTATTTTGCACTTTTTCCTTTTATTTTAATACTATTTTCCCATTTCAGAGAATATTTTCAACATAATTTTGATGAAACTTTCAGAATATCACTACCCCCCCGGGACCCTGCTGTATATAGTAATGATAATAATATAATTAACAATTATGCTGAATAAAATCCTGTGTTTTTGCTCCTACAGAGAAATCTGATCAGAATTGGGAACCACCGAAGCAAGTTCAGAAGAAAAAGGCCAGGAGAGAAACATGAACCATGAGTAACATCCAGGAAAGCTTATGCAAATGTGATTATGCAATAATTTCACAGTACAGAATTTTATACTGAATAAATTTACTGTGCTTTAAAAAAAATCAAAAATAGAAACAAAACTGGGTTGGAAGAACTCGGCACAAAAAAAAAGACAAATATAGAGTAAAAGTGAGCATTCTGTTGGCTGGAACACTATGTATGTGCACTATTACGCTACACTGAGGTTTGTTGAGGAATACTTATCATCCTTGATATCAGACATGCTTTCAGTGGAGCAAAACATTAATGATAATTTTTTTCCCCAACTGCTACTAAACTGATTTTGAAGTTGGAGTGTTGAATTTAATTTGGGAAATTTTAAGGATCTACTTTTGTTCTATCTATTACTGTTCCTGTGACACTTTAGTACTTTTGAATTACACTTTGCAGTCCAGTAGTTGCAGAAGTGCCACAGTTCCTGTTAGAAGCCACAGAGAGGCGCTGCGAGCCGGCGTCTCCTCCAGCAGTACTTCTGTGACATTAGCTTGAGCAGTAAGAGGTCAATTCCTGTAATCCTGTAGATCGCTGTGGTGGAAAACCAGAGAACGGTTATATTACAGAGAATTTTTTTTAATGCTAAGCCTATTTTCTTAGAGCTTTTCTTCCGTCCTTATTATATATATATATATATATATATATATATATATATACATATATATATACATATATATATATATTACCCGTATAATTGGGTATGTAGATCTCAGAGAGGAGTAATGACTCTTCCCTTTTTAATCAACTACTAGTTGAATCCAATGCTTTATTTCCTGCAAATTAAAGTAGAAAAAGCCACGCCATATGTATAGAACTGTAAGGGCTTTTTTACTATGGCAAAACTCTTTGTAATTGCACTGTGCTGAAGGTTGTAAAATACCATGTCTATTTTGTTTTCCTTGCACAATGTGAACATTTAATTTTTGTTTCTGTTCGTTTTGACTGAGTAAGTTAGTAGGCTTATATGATTTTTGTTGGGATGTTGATGATGATTAGCGCAGCTTTAATTCCATGACACAAACAGTATCAGGAATCTGTTGCCTTTAATCTATACTTAGTAGTGTATGCTTTCTGTTCTCTTCCTCTTTTTGAAGTCTTTTTAACAGGTTTGGCATTTAATTTCATTTCCGATTTGATTGATTGTTATTGTTGCATGAACTTAACCATTTATAGTGAAGAACAACGTCCTGATTCTCTGTGCACTCGTGCAAGTACCACTCACTGTAAATAGGCTTTAATGAATGATTGATGATGATGAATGGATGTGGGGGGGGTTTGGGAGGGGGAATTTAATATTCATATTTGGGTTGACTTGGGGGTGTTTTGCCCATGGTCGTTTTGTAAATTTCAGTAGATCATGTGTTTCTGAGGCACTCTGGGCTAGCATCGGATGCCTGCCTTAGTTGAGAGGTTACTCAAACAATGTCTTTCTACCAGTTTATGGAATAAAGAATGATCATGTTTACTTGTCAATGCAATATTTCTATGTTGATTTGTTAAATAAAAGAAGATCGCTATTTGAGCTTAGAGCTGTTGATTTGTTAAATAAAAATGAAATGCTGTTTGGGCTCTGAGTTTTTTTAAAATACATTTTTTATGAATCTTAGCAAAAAATACACTTCTGTGAATAATTCAGCCAACAGTCTTAGGTTTGCTGTTTAAACGTACATTGATACATTAAGGAATCAAAATATAACCCGCAGCCTGTTCATAATATTTGCATGTTTTAATTGGCGTCTGTTTAATTTATCTTTATACTACAAATACAGCACATTGTGCACAGAAGTCTTTATTTATCCAGCAATATTTGGGTTGATGACATTTCTAACTGTCATTTTACACTCTTATTGCATTGCAAGAACTGATATTTAGGAAAATGCTAATCTTTTTTTATTTTATAGTATTTCTTTTTTTTTTCTAATCTGGTATTAAACCAAACATGCAGTAGAAAATATACTAAATGAATTGTTGGTATCGATTCTGCTGCATCCTGACAATAAGTCTTGTGTCACGTGTACAGAGACTAACCTCACCTGCCTTTTCTCATTGCATTTTAGATCTGTGGCACATTCATCCGTTTTCATTGATTTATGCATTTTCCCCCAAAGGGATAGGGATTTGTTTAGCAACCATCCTCTGTGGTAGCCATGCTATACTGTTGTTAAAACCTGACAAATATAGTTTTTCATTTGTTAATTGATGCAATTAGGTATTATTTGTTAATCACAATAATTATAGTTATCTGTATTTAAGGCAGCTGTCAAATATTTGTCAACTTGGTTTTAATAAAGTAGTCATCTGGGAGTGTATTTGCTAATATACAGTGGTCAACATTTGAAGTGGATCAAAAAAAGACAAGAACACATTTGGTTTTAGGTTTTAGGACAACTTTAATAAAAGGTTTTGATCCACTTTAAAAGTTGACTTCTGTGTATTTTTCAAATACACTCCCAGATTACTACTTTAAAACAGTTGTGCTACTTCATATTTTTGAGGAAACCAAGACCATTTTTTTTCAGGATTCTTTGATGAACAAAAATGAAGATGAAAGTTCAAAAGAACAGCATTTTTTTTAAATAGTTTTTTTTTGTTCTAATTACTTTTGAATAAATGCATGCTTGCTGAATAGAAGTAATGATTTTTTTTTAAAACAAATAAAAAACTGACCCCAAACTTTTAAATGGTATAGTACAATCATTTTAATTTGAAAAATCAACAGAAATCGACAGAAGTTGTCAAAGTGCTGTACAACTAAAACAAAATACATATAAACACAGAACTAAAAAGGAATAAAAAATACCCCGAGGACAAAAATGTTGTCAAATATTTGAATATATTTCTATAAATAAGTATAGCTGAGTATTGCAAAAGTCCCAAGTCCAGGTGAACCTGAGAACACTTCACTCATTGTACAGCCACCATGTTGTTTTGCTGCTGTTAAACTTACATTGGCTGAGAGCTGTAAATCCCCTGATGCAGTCAAGAAGCTGCAAGCCGCCCACAGAGGCTTAGCGGACACACACACACACCACACACACACATGTCTGGTCAGCTATCCTTGTGGGGACTCTCCACAGGCGTAATGGTTTTTCTACTGTACAGACCATATATTCTATTGCCCTACACCAACCCTACCCCTTACAGGAAACTTTCTGCATTTTTTGATTTTCAAAAAACTTAATTCTGTATGATTTAAACGCTTTTGTACCCGTGGGGACCACAATATAGGTCCCCACTGTGACACGAGTCCCCATGAGTCTGTGTGTAGTCAGGTTTAAGTCCCCACCAGGATATATAAACCAGTACACACACACACACACACACAGAGTCTCATTGGTATGGGCCATCTGCTCTCCTCCTGTGTCCTCATCAACACTGAAGATTATATGAACACTATTTTATAAGTCCCCACCAGGATATATAAACCAGTACACACACACACACACACACACAGAGTCTCATTGGTATGGGCCATCTGCTCTCCTCCTGTGTCCTCATCAACACTGAAGATTATATGAACACTATTTTTTAACCAAGGGAGAATAAGTCTGAAGACATGTTTGCTCCGGGGTTTTTTTTATATCCGTGTGTAACTCCTGACATTAAGGATAGTTTTGTCACTATAAAAGATTTAAATAGGTGTATGATGTAGATCACAAATTAAAATAAACTAAAAAAAAAAAAAAAAAAAAAAAAAAAAAAAAAAAAAAAAAGGGAGATCTTAATAAAATATCAGTTGCTTTTCCTAGACACCCATGTCTAGTTTAAGCAAAGAAGCCAGTAGTTTTAATATCTTATTCTTAACTTAACTTAATATCATATTCTTCAGGTTGGGGTTTATTTGATCTATATATTTGTGTTTGTTAATATGTTTACATTTAATACAATTTATTATTTACAATATTTGTTAGCCGAAATGTTTTGCATTTTTAGTGTTTAACACATTTTGTGTTTAATGTTTACTTTTCTGTTTACATTTTGATGATAAACCCAGATTCCACTGTGACAACTTGCCCCATGCAGAATGACAATACTAATGTCTCCAAAGGTCACAACTGTATCTTCCTAAATGTTTTACATCCCCTCAAAATAAATGTACATTTGGACTTCCCGGCGAATATGCACAGCGAACTTGACCAGCGGGCACGTGACGCCACACCAAAGCCCCCCTCCGGTCACGTGGCGCGGAGAGGCGCTGGATTAATGCAGCGGTGGGGCACTAACAGGACGGTAACGGGAAACGGAAACAACTCAGGATTTAACGGCGACGGTGAGCTGTAGCTCTCAGAATCTATCGATTCATATATTTGTATAAAAAATAATAATATTGTTTCTAACTAAAAAGGCATACATGAACTAGCCGTGCTGTGTTTGGACGGAAGATGATTTCTCCGTGGGACAGATGCTACACGAGCAGCTGCTGCCTGTGCTGTCATGTACGGACGGGCACCATTATCCTGGGCATCTGGTATATGGTGAGCCCATACAACTCTTATATTCAATAACAACATATATAGTTATAGCCGTTTATTTTTTTATAGCCACATAAACTATTTTGAATATGATTAGTAAGTAGTATTTGTATTAGTAGAATTCTAATTGAATTCCTTTTCTAATTTAGGGGAATTCAAATTAAAATGGTCGTTTTTTAAAAATCCCCTATCTAGACAGCAGTTTTGAGCATCCTAAACGTTTGATGTTCAAAATTCTGCACACATCTATATATGATGCCCAGTAATATTGTCTAGGAAATTGTGCTAGTGCCATAGACAACACTGTTGCAGAACACGAATTCAGAATTAAAGAGAAAATCTGAGACGCTTTAAATAATTTAACCACTAAATGTTACCAGTTACTAGTCTTAATCTATCAGGTGAGGCTTATTTTAGAAACCAGAGCGCTTTTACCTAGTATGAATAGAAAAATAATCTTATGCCGAAACTGTTACTAAAGGAAGTTTTGTCTTATCGATCACATATAGGAGATACAAATAAATAGCAGCGAATATTCTGGTCACCTCTAGTTTCTTCTGCACTGCAAGGAACAGCAGAATATATTAATCTAAAAACTACAGTGACGTTTATTGACACAGACAGGAAAATGCTGTCACAGACAAAACATTATCAGAGACAATGAGGATAAAGGCAATGCGTGTCACATATTAATTTAATTTTTCATATAAATGTCCTCATTTGTAAGTCGCTTTGGATAAAAGCGTCTGCTAAATGACTAAACAAAAATAAATAAATAAATCAAAAATAAATGTCCGTTATGTAGAGCTAACCGCGTAATATGGTTGAGGGGACTAATTTTGTTTGGTCTGGAAAGTAAAAAAATTTCAGCAGGTCTAGTATTATGTATTTCTAAATATATATGTTACATATTTGATTTGATTTGATTATAAATATATTTAATTTTATTTGATTATGTACATATATATATATAGATAGATAGAGAGAGAGAGAGAGAGAGAATTTTAATATGATATTGTGGCATATATTATAAAATGTAAGTTAATTATGCACAAAAATACTGTATATATCTAATTATGTGGCAAATATTATGAAAGTGAATTATGCACATACTTTAGTCTGTTACAATTATGAAGTGTGTTCTATAATTACTTTTTACTTTTTGACTACAGTAAACTTCGTTAATCTGAGCAAATTATTCTAAAACGTTATTTACACCATAAATCACCAATTTCAAGTTTTCAACTGATGTTGTTTGTTTTCACCCAATTTATATATAGATATATTTTTATTAATAATCTCTGTCCTTTTCAGCTCATCAATGCAGTGGTTTTGTTAATCCTATTGTCGGCTCTCAATGACCCAGTCCAGTACCACTACCACCTCACCAGCCCCGAACTCGGCACGGATTTGGATGTCATGGACGATGCAAGTATGTATGCAAGAGTCATTTAATCCCCCATAGTTATTACATTTCAGCATGAGCAAACAAGTCATCATCAACTTTTTAAGTTCTGCAATAGCTCAAAGGCTGCTATCGTATTTCCTGGCGGCATCAGCGCTGCTGTCTGTGCAGTTATAGATTCTGGCTCTGGTGACTTTGATTAAAACCGTCACTCATCAGCAGGATTTAAACTATGATTCCTTGTAATTGGTCTGGGCAGCTTTGCATCTGTCCTCTGTTATATGAAGCCTGTTTTGTAATAGGCACTGAAGTAGACAGAATGTACGGTGGAGTGTCCTTTAACATATGGAGGGGATTAACTGGAGGGAGCTCTATTTCAAAGACCAGCACCACTGAACTCGATGTACTACTTACAGTACTGAGAGCATGAGCAGCTCATATTAATTTGATAGAGTTACAGCGTCCCAATCAAAAGTGTCAGAGATGAGTAATACTCTGTAATATTAGCCATTAGGTGAACTCAATGTGTAATAGTTATTCAGGATGTCAGTGGTAATATGACATACTCTTTGGGAAAATTGGGAAATTATAAACTAATGTCAGAAAACTTCCTGTTGGCAGTGTGTTCAAACAATCTCTCTTCTGAAAACTACAGGGGTTAGTTCACTTGTTCTCCTCCACTATGTGCTTCCTAGGCTATTTTATTATCTGTAAATCTTCATTGCATGCTGCTTTGTTTGTATTTCTCAATAATATGAGATATGCCTGTGTTTTGGAGTAAATGAGAGTCTGGTGGCTGTTTTGGAAACACGGCACTGTAGTAGGTCAGGTAACTAGTTCATGGTGTCTGTAACGTCTTGTGAGCACTAGGCTAAACTAATAAAATTTTAACTTAGGCAGGCAATGTTACTGGCTCATATGTCAGTCTCTAGCTTTTTCTGATGAATTAGTAAGTTTGTTCATAAATGAATAATTCAGAAATGTACACGGATATATTTCATTTCACTTTCACATGCTTAATAATTCATTAAAATTGACATATTTCAAAGCTTTTTTAAAGAAATTTGAAGGCATAATGACAATTATACAATACAATACAATACAATACAATACAAACTATACAATTTACATATATATATTTCAATGCATTTTCATAGAAATTTCAGTGCATAATAACAAAATTCATTACATTTTACATAGATATATTTTCCGGTTCGTTGATCGTTCTGGCTATTGCCACTAAAGTTTGGATTTGTTTGAATTCTGATTAACAGTCTTAATTTGATTCAGTAGACATTCAGTACTACATTTCAGTTGATGCAGTTAATTCGTAGAATTATTGCCGATAAGAAGTTCTCTATGACTGATACTGTGAACTTAACTTTAGAATGCTCTTAACTTTGCATTATTGAAACATTTATTTTTAACATCGACACTATTAAAACAGTTGATGTTAAAAATATAAACATTCATTCATGATTAAGGTAAACTGAATTTTTGTAGTGAGCTCAGCAGAAACTCGAGTGAAATTTGCTGGGTGCCAGGTTTGCTGCGAAATAATATTTAGGGAAATTCTTGTCATATTAAAAGATCAATCTTGCGATTTTAAGAATTGATATTAGATTATTGAATTTCAGATTACAGTTAATATTTTTTACCCAGTCCTAGATGGTTCATTTTTGCTCCTTAAACTCAATATTCCTTGTTCAGATCTGATGTTGCGTGTCTTTCCTCCACAGACATGTGTATCGCTGCTGCAATCTCATTGCTGATGATTTTGATTTGTGGAATGGCGACCTACGGTGCATATAAGGTTTGACAACTTGCTTGTTAAATGGATTATTCACCTAAAAATGAAAGCTCTGTCATTATTTACCCACCATCATGTTGTTCCAAACCCATAAGACTTTCTTTCTTGCACTGAACTCAAACACGAGGGTGAGTTAATAAAACAGATCTTTCATTTGGGCTTGAAGGATCCTTTGAAACTCATTAAATAAGACTATTTATTTGTCTGTTTATTATGATTCCACTAAATTAATCAATGCAAATGCTTAATTCATCAGTTTGTGCTGCGTAGTAAAATGATTTCTTTCTTTTCTTTCAGCAACATGCTGCATGGATCATACCTTTCTTCTGCTACCAGATCTTTGACTTTGCTCTTAACACACTGGTAGCAATAAGTGTTGTCGTTTACCCCAACACTATACAGGACTATCTTCAGCAGTTGGTAAGTATCTGATCTGACCATTGCAGATCTGATATTGCAAAGTATCATTCCGTTTTTGACTCGATGTGTCTTTATGTTTTAACAGCCTGGGACCTTTCCATACAAAGAGGACTTGATGTCCACAAACAACATGTGCCTAGTATTAGCAGTGCTTCTCTTCATTGGATGCATCTTAGCCTTTAAGGTAAAGTGAAACAACTGTACTGCTTTCCCTTTATTGTGATCTACCAGATCATTTTTGGTTCGCTATAGCTAGATGTGATGCACAGTAGCCTGCAAGATGACTGAATATGACTGCTTCAGACAAACACTGTGTTGTCTTTCTAGAAGCCTGACTTCAGATGTGATACAAATCGCTTTATGACAGCCTGCACGCATTAGAGAGAGGCAGATTACTCTGCTGGGATAAACACAGTGTGCTAAAATTAACCTCTTTCCCTTGCTGTTGTATGCATGACGGTCTAGTAGGTTGTTTATTGCATTGCGATCTGTCTAAATCAATCTGAATGCCTCTGAGAATGAACATTATCATTGAATTTAGAGGTAAATGTGGTGGAAACTTAGTTCTTACTGTAAATTTTACTAAAGGAGTAAATTTCTTGAACAGTAAAACCAGATATTTGGTTGACATTTTTTATATTAGTCAGGGGCCAGTTGCATAAACATAGTCACCACGTTAAGACTAGTTTGACTAACTAGCAGCTAACCAAGTCTCTATCAGTCTAACTTTTCAGATTCAGAGTAGATCAATCTATGTTTTCATGTAACTGACTTTAAAAAATGATGACCAGTCTTGCAGAAACAAATTAGGTGTCAAACTATTAAGACTAGTCTAAGCAGTTTATGCAGCCGACCACAGCATTGTATTCATTTTGGGTGAACTATTTCTCTAACATAAATGCAAAAAGATAAAAGGTTATGATTAAAAATGAAGAAGAAAAAACGAAAGGTGACCAGTTATAGCACATTAAATATACACCTTACCTCATACTGTCACTGTGTGTGTAATTTAAACAAAAATGGATTTTAAATGAAAAAATCTTAATGTTCATGTTATTTGTCCCATATGTTCTTGTTATATTTTTTTGCCATCTGGAAGTTAAATAGTGTAGACAAGGCAGTGTATCTGTGGGTCATTATTTTTATTGTTTAAACCATATGCACATGATTTATGGTGGTGTTTTATTTAGCATCAACGACTGTTCTTTCTCTTTTTCTCTTTAGGCTTACCTTATTGCCTGTGTGTGGAACTGCTACAGATACGTCAGTGCAAGAAGCACTACAGAGGTCCTGGTTTATGTCACCACAAATGACACTACAGTAAGTCAGAGGGTTTTTTTGTACGTTCACTGTTAAATGGAGTCTTGTTTCTTTACACTCACATTTGCAGATGTCTCCATAATGACCACACATAAACTATTTTAACTAAAGGCGGTTCTTTTGAACTTTTTTTCCTCTATTTTTCCAGAATCCTGGAAAAATGTATCATAGTTTCCTGAAAAAAATATAAAGCAGCACAACTGTATTCAACGGTAATAAAAATAAAAGACTGGAGTAAAAACTGCTTAGCAAAGCTGCTAAAAATTCAGTTTTGCCATCACAGGAATAAATTACATTTTAAAATAATGTATTTTTGATCAAATAAATTCAGTCTTGGTGAGACTTCTTTTAAAAACACTAAAAAAAAACCTTACAGACGGCCCAACACGTGATTCAGTCTCATGTAGTCTGCTATAGAGTTTATCTTTGCACAGCTACAGGGGATGTTCTGACGTGCATCGTCGCATCAGGATCATGATGACGGTCTCCTCATGCCCTCTGTATTGTTGAGTCAGTGTTTATGAAGGGCATTAGAGAGGGCAGTGTGCTGTGTTCCTCTACCGCCTCTAATCCCGCCACTGTCTGGCATACGTAATCCCGTTTTACTGCCTCTGTCTGTCTGTCCTGCTTTTCTGTTGACTCTCAAAGCCCTCCAGTCACTGACAACTCACATGGAGGAAGAGTTGCATTTAATGCATTTGACAGACGCTTTATAAAGTGACATACAGTGCATGGAAGGGATACATTTTATTTGTATTGGGGGGACTAATTAAAATGTGTGGGTCGTTCCACAGATGGCCTACGGGTATAATGAGTAGTCAGATGCTCTAAAAAGAGACGGAAAGAATCTAAATAAAAGATCATTGAGTAGCATAGAGCTTTTTCATTATTCAGCTGCAGGCTGTTACACAACTGTCCAAACTTGTTTAGTTCATTTGAAATCCGCTAGCCGTCCTGACAAGGTGAGAATGTGATCCTCTCAGGGCATTCATGACCATATTACTAATTAGCTCACCTTTTCATAACAGAATGTTTTTGGTTGGTCTTTCTGTATAGGCAGGATGACCTTTTCTGTGCAGTGACATACATAATTTACATTTCAGGTGAAGGCATTCAGGAGACCGCTTACCAAGAGTGGCTTAAAATACTTTTTTTACTTTAGTCTGACACAGCCATGGTTTACAGATTGCTAGAAAGCAACAATAATTACATTTATTTTTAAGTGTATTTTAAAAGAGAAAGATGCAGGCAGGATTCGAACCTGCATCTTCTATATGAGCACCATAGATCAGTGACTACTTTCAGAATACATACTTCCATGCTACTCTTATTATATCTAGGGTATATTCCATGTATACTATGCCAGGGTTATTATTACTCTTAAAATAAAATATAAATTTTATTTAACAACTTATTTTATTTCAGCTAGTTGCCCATTCAACATTTCTCATTTTCATTGTTTATGTTGAAGTACTAAAACAACTCAAACTAAAACTTAATTAAAAAAAAAGTCATATATGAAAAAAGAAATTCCTCATCAAGACAAAAACAAAACTAAAATTAAAATGAAAACTAAAATATTAAAATAAACAAAAACAATAGTATTATAACCAGGATACTTAATAAGTATGTACAGAATGTACATTTTCTTTAAGAAATACACAGATGTACAGAGCCCCTGAACATGACATGAAGAAGAAAAAAATAGTCATGACCACAAATTAAGAATTTTCTCGCACAACTTATTAATTCATGGCCACATTTGATCAGTTTGGTCCCTTGATTTGATTACGTGGCCACGTTGTACTAATTTATTTCCTCATTTTAATTAAGTCATGGCCACACTGTACTAAATTGTTCCCTTGTTTTAATTTAGTTAAATCGTGATTTAACTAAAAATTAGGGAACAAATTAATAAGTTGTGGAAAATGAATTCTCAGTTTGTGGCCTTTTTGTTCCAACATGATATTGTTTTTTCTCCAATGTTAATATGCAGGGCTCTGTACGGATGACCTGCTACATTTGCCAAAATATGCAGTAGCCGACTAGAATAATGTGTCCCACAATGCAATGCTCTCAACTTGACCCATTATGTCCAATGGGACAAATGAAGCAGAAGTAATATCAGACATGATTTCTTGACTCATCATTTTGAGTTGCTACATTTCTACACAAACTTGGATTAAAACATGCTGAGTAACAATTTATTTTCCTTCCAAGATGAACGTGACAAAGTCATATGAAAAAAATGTAGCCTACTATTGTTTCAAACTTTTTGTTTGGCAAAATATGTTCCGTTTCATATACTATTTTGAAATGTAGTTAGATGTTTATTGTATAAACTGCACAGTAAGCTAATATTCACGACAAACATTGCTAACGTGTCTTTAGCATGTGTGCTAATGGCTATTCTCTTGTTGTTTTCATTTTTGCGTCTTGTTTAATCTAAGAACATAGTGAAATACAACAGAAAAGGGGAACATATTGTATATGGAAAGTAGGGCTGCACGATAAATATCGCACGATATTTAATGCGCATCTCGTCAGTAAAGCCGGTTCTGTAATCAGTGGTAAATCTCTACACGTGCGTGCTTTCACGTGGAGCAGCATTTACTACACAGAGCCGTTGTTCACAGACAAGCTGCGCAAAATATGATCGTGATTTACCGCTGATTACAGAAACGTCTTTACTGACGAGATGCGCATTAAATATTGTGCGATATTTATCATGCAGCCCTAATGGAAAGCATTTACTAATGTTACTGCTTTACTTTCAGGTACTACTTCCACCCTACGAGGAGGCAGTCGCCATCCCACCGAAGGATCCCCCTCCCCAGTACGTTTCAGCTTGAGAATCACACCCTTCTCGTACTACGCTCCTCCCAAACCTTCTCCGAAGTAACACTCTCCGTCACAGTAGCCCATTCCGTTGCCCCGGTCTCCTGTTTGTCGCTGTGTGACGTAAGTCTCCTCTCTGGAGGCAGCAGCATGACTTTGAGACGCCCTTCCCTCGACAAGGCTGCCCAGCTGTCCTGGCATCCCAACGCTGTGTGTCAGCTCCAATCTGATTTGCACTTTCGGCGATTATGTGCGGCTCTGGCCTTTTGAATACTGTGAATTTCTCAGTAGTGTTATTGTCTACTGATATACCTGAGATTTGAATGCGGCGTGCATGATAAACACGGGAGTTACGTAAGAGCACTTTTTTGAAATGGGAATTACCTAGAAATGTACTGAATGTAAGAAGCCGGCATTTTCACTTTAATTTCGTTGTACTGTACGAAATAAAAATGACAAGTTTTTATTCAGAATATAATTAAATTAGGTGTAAAAAAAATAATGCGAGCAATTCTACACCATTTTATCTAACAAAGTGAAATCTTTCAAGTCTTCCTTTAAACACAATGTCCCAAAACATGATGCAATCATTGATTAATATTCTCTTTCAATCAGTCAAATGCTAATCGTTAGTTTTAGATGGTGTAGATGTCGCAAAGACTGAATGATCCTGCTGCTTGTTAACAGTTACAAAGCTGTATACACTTAATATACTTGATAACATTGGTTTAAGTGTGAAATCAAGTAGATTTGAATGATTTTATGGACTGTTTCATGCATCATAGGGGTCTGACTTCAAATTAAAGGACTTGTCACTTGTTTACTTTAAAAAAAGCTAATATTTGGGTTACGGTGCCATCACATTTACCATTTTTTCAATAGGAGTCCATGCAATTAGGAATTCAGTTTCCCCATTAAAAGATTTAAGAACATTAAGTTTGGCGCACAAATTCGCCACGAACAAAAGCTGCATGGTTTGAAAGTGACTTCTGTGTGAACTGTGCTTCATACATCACTACACCATTAACAATACACAATAGACCTTTTTAGTCTCAAAATGTTTCTAAAATTTTGGTAATGTAAACGCATCTTTATAGTTGAGGCACTTAGAATGGAAGTGAACTGGGCCAGTCTGTTAAAGTGAAAATATTTACTGTATTACTTTCAATAGCATCACCACACGACATGTTAACATGATTTTAGTGTGAAAAAATCCCAAACTTTCTCTATGTGAAGTTATGTCCCATTTTACAGTTGAACCACTAAACCCCTAAATTGACTAAAAATAGTTTAAACCGCTTTACAGCTCAAATAACACACAGGTTTCAACAGAAATATTAAAGTGCTTTCATAAAATTTGAAGCTTCACACTTAAAATCCTTTAAAATATCTCCATTCACTTCCATTGTAGGTGCCTAACATACCTTGATTTTTTAAATGCTTTTTTTAAAGAAAACGAGGGACCAGACCATTTTGGTGGTAATCAACATTATGCCACAAATGCTGTCGACTGATCTTGTCTTGCATTGAACCAGACAGTGCTCGGTGAATAAATGAAAATTATAGGTGTTAGGAAATAATTTTTTTCATGTTACATGCTCCTGTTCAGAGAAGTAGTATAACTTTTCTGTCATTGTCTCTAGGTTACAATCTGTGGCTGCAGACTGCAATGTTTTTGCACAATATGAATATTATTCATTCGTGTTATTGTCTGTGATGGCCGGTGTGTTAAATCAGTAATTGTGACAAACTGTAGATTAGCACGTAGCTGAGTTCTGATGCCATGGCATCTCCCCCAGTCACCTTCTAGCTCAAAGTAGCTGCTGTTAATTGGGAACATTTTTGATTTTTATATACAGTGGCTATGCAAGGGTATTTTGTAACATGTATCCATAGCTGAAAATGACTATATGCTTACATTTATTCATCATAGTAAAATTAGGTATAGATCAGTAATTGTGACAAACTGTAGATTAGCACGTAGCTGAGTTCAGATGCCATGGCATCTCCCCCAGTCACCTTCTAGCTCAAAGTAGCTGCTGTTAATTGGGAACATTTTTGATTTTTATATAGTGGCTATGCAAGGGTATTTTGTAACATGTATCCATAGCTGAAAATGACTATATGCTTACATTTATTCATCATAGTAAAATTAGGTATAGAAGAAATAATAAAAGTGTTAAGACATTGATAGATGTAGGAATTTTCTTTCATTGTTCTGTGCTTAGACTTCTGTCTTCAATTCAGCATCTCCGAATCAGCTTCATATAAGCAGTTTTATCATGAAACACAAATTTTAAACGATTATGTGTATTTGGAATATTGCTTTTGGTATCAATTGTGACCTGTACATTTTAGCATTATATTCTCACACTATTTCTCATCAAATTATCACAAAATGAATTTTCAGAAACCCAGAGCAATGTCTGTCAGTAGGTAGACGGTCTGTGAATGTTTGTCTTTGTCTTGTTACACATCCTGTATTGGGTTTACACTGGCTTATGTCTTATTTCTAAACAATAAAATATTCCAGTAATGCTTCATTATGGCTGCCTGGTGTCTGTTTGCTAGCAATCTAAAAAGACTTTTTTAGTTAAATCCACAATGGATGACAAGCCTTTCATTTAAGACTGCGTAACACTTCAGGATCAACAATTTATACATATTTTTCAAATTTAGGACTGGACCACAGAAATGTTCAAACCAAAAGATAACACCGTCTTCTACTAAGAAAAATAAAGAACTTAAAATTAAAACGATAAAATGATTGAACTGCAAAACTAAGAATAAAATGCATTAAATATTGCACCCTCTGGTGGCAAAATTGTAATACATATTGATGGTGTGAATGTCTTCACCCCACTGCTGGGGCTCACGCTGAATTCACAGCACACATAAATATTGAAAATATTGGATTCTGTTCATGCTCTTAACAAACTGGGAAACATAAACACATCCCAAGAGCATATCAAGGATTCCAGAAACAGATGTCATGTTGATCTTTTTTTAATAAAAAAAAAAAACCTTAAATACATAAAACAGTGACTAAACAATATCCCGTTCCTCAACATTATCAAAGGTCAAAAAAAAAAAGTTTCATGCCTTTTAACAATTAAACATCAAGTCTGAACAAAAGCTGAGACAAAAATAACCAAAACCAACAAAGACCTTTTCAACCAATTTTATTTCTAAAACGATCAGGTGGAAATGGCTCTACTTCTCCCCCTGCTGCTGCTGCTGCTGGTCTGGCATGCTTCTGATGATGTCTGAATCGCCTATCAATGCAAAAGAAAAGCATTAATGACAGAACAATTCGTTTAACCTGACACAACGCTACAATATTAATGTTGAGAATACAAAGGACAGACGGACAATGTCTAAGATGCTCTTGAGTTCCACGTCGGAATCAAAATAGCACAAAACATACCAGCAACCTTTTAAATGTACATCTACTTTGACACATAACCTACTAAACCAGTTAACATGGAAAGTTTCGATAAAACAGAAGTATAAGATCAAGTCACATCAGTTCCCCCACTGAAAGGAACGGATGCATGTATACACACCAGGGTCAATGATGGCCAGTGTGCACACTCTGAAGTATTTGCCACAGGCTGTGCCGAGCTCAATGTTGTTTCCGCTGTAATGATGGACTCCGGTTTTGGCCAACATAGCGTAGTACTCAATCTCAGATTTCCTAGAAAAAAAAGAAAGATACAATTGCATTGACTAAGACGCCACAGACGTTTCACATTTTGACAGCAGATGTCAGAGCAGTAAACGGCACACACCTCAGAGCAGGACAGTTGTTGGCCAGGATTACCAGCTTGGCTTTTCCTTGGCGAATCATTTTCTGAGACTGCTTGTATCCGAGAACATATTTACCGCTCTTCATCACAAGCTGCAGTCTGGAGTTGATGGACTCCAGGGACTTTTTCTGAAAAAGATGAAGGGACAAAACCATGAATGCACCTATGGCACAGAACATACAAATACACTTTGACAGAAAACAGTGACTAACATGTCAAATATATTTTACATCAGACAATTACCAGCCATTTCTTTGACAGAGGTGCAAATCCTGTATATACACAGTATATATTAACCTTGCTCACTAGACTAATATGTCTAGCACACTAATATAAGTTACATTTCCAAATCAATTAAGAAAGTCACGCCCCATTCGCTCTATGATCACATCAATGCACTTATAAACAGTATATACACAGAGTGACCATATCGCGCCTGCGTTAGACAACTACAATTCTTTAACAGCAATACTTTATCTCAATGACATTTCAGAAGAATTGCTCCCGTACTACATTCATCGCTCATAGTTAACATACTAAGCGTTTGACTGATAAAGACGCATCACGTCTTCTGAAGGCACCCAAGTTATATCATTAATATATTTAACATATAGCGTACAGTAGAAAACAAACTAGCTCCTCTGAACTACAAGCATCTTGTCAAGCAGCTGCACTCTTTAACCAAGTTAGCTAACATTTAGCCCACCCGACAGCACGTAGAGATGAACATTTGCACAATCAAATGGCTAATAACAGCTCCGCTGCGTAACTTCAATCTTATATTTCAGTATTAGTGGATGAAAACATGTAGGCTTTTCTGATCGGGCCTGAAGGGCGCTTCCACGTGAAGCGCCCGCTCCACTCACCGTCTTCTTCGCGGCCACCATTTTTCCCGATTAGTCCGATCTGGCCAACCTAAACACAGAGGGGCAACAAATCAAAACCTATTCTTTCAAAAGCCTTCTGTTTGCAGTCTTCATAAAAGGCTTAAAGAGAGTATTTTAATCGTTTCCACCAGAGCCGCGCTCACCTCCTGATCACACCAAGATGGCCTCGTAGAGAAAGGGCTTCCCAGCGTGCAGCGCGCGCGTAAACCTCACGCGCCCACATCGCGAGAGCGCTGACCTCAGGACAGTAACCACGTGACGTTTGGTGTCTGCGCGCGGTTACATGCACGCTCTTAAACCGATTGTGTTTAATAAGCCGAAAACGCACGTGGTCATGTAAACGCGGTAACCCGTTTTCTTTGACCGGAGTAAGGTCAGAAACAGGTCGCGAGCGCTTTCTGTCGGCTTATTGAAGTGCGCATGTGTGATACGTGACAGGAACGCGTCGTTAGTGCAGATTTAAGCGCATCTAGACCGAGTAAACGTCTTGCAGTAAAGAAAGAAGGAAATATATCACAAAAGCGCGCGCGCGTAAACCTCACGCGCCCACATCGCGAGAGCGCTGACCTCAGGACAGTAACCACGTGACGTTTGGTGTCTGCGCGCGGTTACATGCACGCTCTTAAACCGATTGTGTTTAATAAGCCGAAAACGCACGTGGTCATGTAAACGCGGTAACCCGTTTTCTTTTACCGGAGTAAGGTCAGAAACAGGTCGCGGACGCTTTCTGTCGGCTTATTGAAGTGCGCATGTGTGATACGTGACAGGAACGCGTCGTTAGAGCAGATTTAAGCGCATCTAGACCGAGTAAACGTCTTGCAGTAAAGAAAGAAGGAAATATATCACAAAAGCAGACTTTTTCATGACTAAAAATGAGAAAATGTGTTCTCGTGCGGCAGAAGTGGTTCAGTCGCAATGCTGCGTTTATACTTGCACGAGAGGATAATAAATGAGCTGTTGCAAGCTTAATTTAACATCACAACTGACAGATGCATGGAGTACTCGGAGTCAGACACGCAAATGATTATATTTTGACTTCAGTACAGGGAAATAGCCTGATTTATTAATGAAGGGCAGCTTGCTTGCGTGGTCAGGTTACTGGTGTGCATGTAAACGGGGGAAACTGCTTATTTTAGTAAGCTGATATTTGTGAGTTATCAGCGTGCTGGTGTGCATGTACACTCAGCTGGACCAATTGCTTCACAAAATGCTTCAGTTTTTCGAAGCGCTCGGAACACCACACGCTGGTGTCGCCTGCTGGTCAAAACTGTGTAAATGCAACACAGACTCATGTCAAAACATGCATAAAAACCAATAGGATCCAGCTGCAGCCCCGCAGACACGATCCAGACCACCCGATCTAGGCTGGAAGTGGTGGGGTGGTGGGCGAAAGCATAACAACATGGCGGAGAACACGGTGGGACACCTGTAATGATCTCTCATTATGTGGTGAACTATTGAACTATTCATTAAGTTAAACGGTTTCTTGTAAATCTCGGTTATTTGCATGTCTTTCACATTGTACTACTGCAGGTTAAAATTGTTGTAATCTTTTATTGTTTTCAGTATTTTTCTGTTGACAGTTCAATTACGTTTTAGATTTATGTTTTGAATGTATTATTTATTAAACAGAGACCCATTATTTAAGTTCAGTTTTTGCTCACTGAAGACATGGAGATTTTTTTTTTTGATTAAGTGTAATGAAAACAGGGGACCAAAATGAACTCTTGTCATGAGTTCACTGAGTTCACTTCTTGTGATCATCAAGTTCGCCGATGGCACGACAGTGGTGGGTCTCATCAGTAAGAACGACGTGTCAGCATACAGAGAGTGCAAATGTTAACAGACTGGTGCAAAACCAACAGTCTGTCTCTGATTGTGGACAAAACAAAAGAGATGGCTGTGGATTTCAGGAAGACACAGTGCAATCACTCCCTGCTGAACATCAAAAGCTCCTTGGTGGAGATCGTCAAGAACACCAAATTCCTTGGTGTTCACCTGGCGGAGAACCTTACCTGGTCCCTCAACACCAGCTCCATTACCAAGAAAGCTTGGAAAGCCTGAG